GTTTATTGTACACAATCGGTCAATTGCGCTTGCCCTTGGCTGGAAAAGACTTTATTCCTGGGAAAGCACTAATCACCCCAAAAAAAATTAAAACCCCCACCGGGATGTAAATGGGTTTAACTCTTTTTAAGTACAATAGTGGTTTTGAAGCAGAAAGTAGTTTATTTTTCACAAACGGCAAACCGGGAGCACCAACTTGCCGACGCCACCAAAAAAAAAAAAGGGGGGGATTCACTTTTAAATTTTTGATTCTTTAAGCTGTGGCAAAGATGAGCGAATCGAACCAGGCGAAGTGGAATTCGTTTCAATTTTAGAAAAATTCGTTCGGCCAATCCGAATATTAGCCAACTTCGGGTGCGCGAATCGGATTATTTCCGATCAGCCGCATAAAGTTGTCCCCTGCAAGAGAGCTCCGCTATTTCTGACATTTACCTGAACAGTTCGTCACATTTACAGCGGTTGAAACATTGTATCTATTTGGTTTCCACCTTAGGATACAGATGTATTTATTCGGGAAACAGATTACAATGTTTCAACCGCTGTAACTGTGAAGGAATCTGGTCAGAGAACTGTCACAGAAAATAGCGGAGAGCTGGGCACGTGCTCTCTCAGAGACATCTGTGGGCAGTACTGGAATAGTCGGCGGGGTGGGAGGAGGGGATGGAGGAGATGGAGGAGGGGATGGAGGAGGAGAAGGAGGAGGGGATTGGTGGGCGGATTCTTCTTCTTCTGGGAGGATTCTGCTGGATACATTCTTCCTCCATTCGGGGATGGAGGAGGCTTCTTCGGAGGGGATGGCGGAGGAGGGATTTTTCATTCTTCTTTTCGATTCTTCTTCTTCTTGGAGGAGGAGGATGAGGGGGGATGGAGGAGATGGAGGAGGGGCTTCTTTTCATTCTTCCCTTCTTCTTTGGATTCTGAGAGGAGGGGATGGATTCTTCTTCTTCTTTTTGGAGGAGGGGATGGAGGAGGCAGGCGGAGGGGATGGCGGATTCTTCTGTCTTTTCTTCTTTTTTCATTCTTTTCTTTTTTATTAGTCTTCTTCTTTTCAATCTTCTCATTCTTCCTTGCTTCAATCTTCGATTCTTCTTTTCATTTAGAAGGAGGATCCATTCTTCTTCTTCTTTTTCATTCTCCTTCTTCATTCTTTTTTCATGTCTTTTTCTTTATCAGGAGGAGGATCTTCATTCTTTTCATTCTACTGGATTTTATTATCACAGTTCTTCATTCTTCATCTCTTTTCATTTTAGGAGAACTTCAGGGGATTCATTCTTACTTTTCATTTCTTCTACTTCATTCTTCTTTTCTTTTTCTTTCCCTCTTCTTCTTTTATTCTTCATTCTTCTTTTCATTCTTCTTTTCATTCTTCTCACTTCTTCTTTTCATTCTTTCTCCCTTTCCTTTTCATTCTTCTTCTTCTCCTTTTCTCATTCCTTTCTCATTCTTCTTTTTCATTCTTCTTCTTCTTTTTTCTTCTTCTTATCTTCTTCTTTTCTTCTTATTCATTTCTTCTTCCATTCTTCTTTTCATTCTTCTTTTCTTCTTCACTCATTCTACTCTTTTCAATTCTTTTTCTTCTTATTTTTCATTCTTTCTTTTCATTCTTTTTCAATTCTTTCTTTTTCATTCTGTCTTCTTCTTCTTTTCGGATTCTTCTCATTAGAAAGAATTTTCATTTCTTGCTTCTTTTATCATTTTCTTCCTACTTCTTCTTCTTTTCAAGTCGGAATCTTCTTTTCATTCTTCTTTTCATTCTTCTGCTTTTTCATCTCTTCTCTTCTTCAATTTTTTCTTTTTCATTCTTTCTTCATTCTCTTTTCATGGATCTTCTTCTTCTTCAATCTTTCATCTTCTTTTCAATTCCTTCTACTTCTTTTCATTCTTCTTTTCATTCTTCTTCGAATCGAATTTCTCCCGCAAATTCAGCGAATCAGCCGAATCGAATTTTTGAATAATTCGCTCATCTCTAGCTGTGGCCCTAAGTAACGATTCTGTGTCCCTGAGTAACGATTCTGTGTCCCTGAGTAACGATTCTGTGTCCCTGAGTAACGATTCTGTGGCCCTAAAGTCTCTGTGGCCCTAACTCTGTCCCTTAATACACACAGGTCTGTCTCTCTTGAATGACCGGAGGCTAATGGATAATTCTAAGATGGCCGCGATTTATAGCTCCACCATTACACAGTGCTGGCTGGCTGCTGATTGGCTAATGAGATCACATGTCATGAATGCATTATGGGTCAGCGCGCCTTGTCTGTGCGCCTTCCCAGAGATCCCCGCCCCATCTTCTCTGTCCATTTTCTCTGTCGCCACACATGTCGCCGCCATTTTTTGGGAAAATTCGATTCGTGCATCCGAAGTTTGCTAATCTTCGGATTCGTCGCGAATAGAATTTTTCCAAATCTTCAGAACGAATTCCACTTCGTCATGTTCGATTCGCTCATCTCTAATTGAGACCTATAAAGGGGCAATGAAAGTACAAGGAGTCTAGAGCATCAATGAACTGAGCAATGTGAACAGGCTGTATGAGCAGAACAAAAGAGCATCTGTGCCCAACATGTCAGCAAGAGCCTTACACTAGCTGATGGAATTATCTCACCCATAAATTGGAGTTCTTGGCTCTTAAGTGGGCTGTAGTAGACAATCTGAAAGATTATCTATACAGGGCCAATTTCATGGTCAAAAACAGACAATAATCATATCACGTACCTGCTGTTAGAGGCCAATGGAGAGAGGGCTTCCCTTGCGGCTAAGTTCCAGACTCCCCTGGATATAAGACAAAAGGAGTCAGGGCCCAAAGTAGCATGGGTCGCCTGTTGGAGTGCTTGTCAGAGGTATACCCAGGAGCACAGCTGATGCACTGGAATGGTATCTGCAGAGGTGTCTACCTTCAGGGTAGCAGAGGACCACAGAGTAGTTGGTTCAAAGCTAAGGTCAGATGCCAGATGGAGATTGGAGCAGACGTAGTCAATAGGATAGCTGTGGCCATACACAGGAGAGCGAGGGAGAATATCTATTAGCCAAGCCGAGGTCAGATCAGGAAAGCAGGTGAGAATATCTATTAGCCAAGCCGAGGTCAGATCAGGAAAGCAGGTGAAAATATCCATTAACCAAACTAGGGTAAGATCAGGAGTCAGGCAGAGAAGACAGGTTCAAGAACAAGCAAAATCAGTAACAGGAGATCACAGTTTCAAGGGAACATGAACAATAGCACTTACATAGTTAAACAGTGTATATTGTATGGTATGGGACTCCTCAGTGCAGAAACCCAGGTCCCCCCAGTCAACCAAGGAATGAAGGACCCCACTGTTTGGTGCAATCGTGCAATGGGCAGACAGAGAACCCCACAGAACTCCAGGTATTCAGCAGATGAAAAACAAAAATCACAGGCGCAGATTGATCGTCGACACTGTTTAACTATTTGAGTGCCTGATAGGCAGTACTATGCTGTAATTTTTGTCAGTTTTATATATGATTATGTTTAAGTGTGTTCATCTTTTAGATGCATTGCTTGCTCCTGAAGAAGCGACTACAGTCGCAAAACATGTTGTAGGTTGTCTACACAGCTTGGATATTCCCCACCCTCTGAAAGAAGTACCTTGTGCTTACCATCTTCATTCAATCTTTTGGAATTAGTTTGTTTTGGTTGATGGGTGGGGGCAGACATGCTGTATTTCCATTGTGGAATGCTATTTTAAATATATGCAAGATATGCTTTAGATGTGATATATTAATAAAGTAACATTGTTTTTTATTTCCCATGTACTGAGTTTATGTATCTAAAAAGTCCATTAGATATTTCTTTTTGCCTTTAATATCCTTGAATCAGGATGTGGCACTATGTTTTTTTTGGGTTGTGACCTACCATTCAATGGTTTCTACACTCTTTTTTCTTTTAAAACCACTTGCCTACCAGGCATTTATACCCCCTTATTTACCAGGCCAATTTTCAGCTTTCAGCGCTGCCGCACTTTGATTGACAATTGCACGGTCATGCAATATTGTACCCATATGAAATTTTGATCATTTTTTTTCTCACAAATAGAGCTTTCTTTTGGTGGTATTTAATCACCACTGGGCGCTTTACTTTTTGCGCTATAAATAAAAAAAGTGCAAAAAATTTGAAAAAAAAAAAAAGTTTCTTTGTTTCTATTATAAATTTTTTCAAACAGGCATTTTTTCTCCTTCACTGATGTGCGTTGATGAGGCAGCACTGATGGGCACTGATAGGCGGCACTGATGGGCACTGATAGGCAGCACTAAAGGGCACTGATAGGCAGTACTAATGAGGTGGGCACGGATAGGCGGCACTGATAGACAGCACTAATGAGGTGTCACGGATAGGCGGCACTAATATGCAGCACTGATAGGCGGCACTGATAGGTGACACTGATGATGGGTACTGATAGACGGCACTGACTGGCATCACTGCTGGGCACTGACTGGTGGCACTGACTGGCACAACCCCTGGGCACTGACTGGTGGCACTGACTGGCAGCACTGCTGGGCTGCACTGGTGGGTGGCACTGGTGGGCAGCACTGGTGGGTGGGCACAGGTGGGTGGCACTGGTGGGCACAGGTGGGTGGCACAGGTGGGTGGCACTGCTGGGCACATGTAGGTGGCACTTCTGGGCACAGGCAGGTGGCACTGCAGAGTGGCACAGGTGGGTGCACTGCTGGGCACAGGTGGGTGCACTGCTGGGCACAGGTGGGCGGGGCTAGTGGGCGCACTGCTGGGCACAGGTGGGCGGAACTTGCGGGTGGCACTGCTGGGCACCGATCATCAGGGCACTGATCATCAGTGCCCTGATGATCAGTGCCGATCCCCGCTCTGACAACTGCCAGTTCTCGGCAGTACTTTCCTCACGATCTGACAGCGTGAGGAAAGTGCAGCCGAGAACCGGCACTTGCATTTCCCTCTGATCAGCGTGTCATTGGACACCGCTGATCAGGTGGTAAAAGGCCGCTGTGATTGGCCTTTTACCACATCACGTGATCAGCTGTGTCCGTAGGACACAGCGATCACGGAGATCGCCGGGTGCGCGCCCCCTGGAGAGCAGGAGAGCGTGTTCTGGGGGGACGTCATATGACGTCCACTCAGAACTGCCGGCCGCAGTGAAGTCGTCATTCGGCTATCTGCGGTTGGCAGGTAGTTAACTAGACATTTAATACTTTGTTGAAGCACCTTTGATTTTATTCCAGCACTCAGTCTTTTTGGAGATGAGTCTTTCAGCATGGCACATCTTGACTTGGGAATATTTCCCCACTCTTCCTTTCCAAAACACTCCAAATCTGTCAGATTGTGAGGGCATCTCCTATGAAACAGCCCTCTTTCTGATCACCCCACAGATTTTTCAGTCGGATTCAGATCTGGGCTCTGGCTGGGCCATTCCAAAACTTTAATCTTTTTTGTTCTTTGGTGATGTGCAGTGTTGTTTTTGCGCCAAACATATATTTTGGAATTATGGCTAAAAGGTTCAACCTTGGTTTCATCAGACCATAGCACATTTTCCCACATGCTTTTATGAGACTTCAGATTTGTTTTGCAAAATTGAGAAGAGTTTGGATGTTTTTCTTCATACGAAAAGGCTTCCATCTTGCCACTTTACTATGAGATCCCTCTGATGCTTTGGAAGCTCTCTGCGGACCATGGCTTTTGCTGTAAGATGTGACTAAGAAAATGTCAGGAAAGACCTACTGGAATAGCTGAACTTTATTTGGGGTTAATCAGAGGCACTTTAAATGATGGAAGGTGTGCACTGACTCCTATTTTAACATGATTTTGAATGTGCCTAATTCTGAACACAGCTACATCCCCAGTTATAAGAGGGTGTGCACACTTATGCAACCACATTATTTTAGTTTTTTCATGTTTACTTCCCCCCTAAAAGATTTCATTTTGGTTTTCAATTGAGTTGTACAGTCTATAGGTCACATTAAAGATAGAAAAATTTTGAAATGATTTTTCTTTGTCTCGTATTTTTACATCACAGAAACCTGACATTTTAACAGGAGTGTGTAGACTTTTTATATCCACTGTAAGTATTTGGGCATGTGGGTGATTTTGGGACACTCCAGCAGCAAACATAAATTTTTTTGCTCCAGCAACAAAATATGTTACAAAAAGGCCCAAAATCTCTGTATATTTGTTAGAATTCTGCCAATTTCTCATAACCAGTTTGCTTGGCAAAGATGAGATTAGCAGATATAGACAAAGCTACACTAGCCAGCTATAAACTCTGACTTCTGTACAAGAGCCAGCATTACAGAAAATGGCTTATTATCAGAACTTGCAGTCAATTGGTTGCTCTGCACCCTTGAGGAGTTATAGAGGAGGAAAAGAAAAAGGGTGCATTATCAGCATTTTCAGGTAAGTGGTTGCTCTCCGCCTGGGGAGTAGTAAGAAAAGAAAGACTTTGTCAGCCAATTTACTACTTCAGATGTGATGAGCCACTTATGGGTTGAAAAAACAGCTCCCTAGAGCCTCTCCATATTCACTGAATTGAGCAAATATTTAAGGAAAAAAAGATATGAAAAGCATGTAGGTAGAAATCAGGTGCCAGGGCATAAGTTGGAGAAGATTAGCTCAGACCTGGCACACTCACCAATATCCAGCATGGTCGTGCCCATTTGCGGCGAACAAACATTCATTCATGGTGCACGCCTGTGCACATTGACGCACACCACGTACGATAGATAGATCTTATTTATTTATTTATTTCAGGTACATATATAGCGCCATCAATTTATGCAGTGCTTTACATATATATATTGTACGTTCACATCAGTCCCTAAACCTCAAGGGGTGTACAATCTAAGGTTACTAATTCCCATTCAAACATACACATACTAGGGCCAATTTAGACAGGAACCAATTCACTTACCAGCATCTTGGTGTGCCCTCCAGCCTTTAAAAAGAGGACAGATGCTCACAGATCTTTCTGACTGGTCCTCAGCTCCCTCATACCGTGTTCCTGCATGCTTGTTACTTCTGGATTTCCTGTTACTATCTCGACTTGCTTCTGGACTTCCCCTTGCTTCACTTCTGGCTCTGACCTTGACTTGTACCACAGATCAGTTCCTGATTACCTCCTGTGTATGAACCTGGCCTGCCTCTGACCATGCTCCTGTCTACTCCTCTGCTTGACCACTGTGCTCTGACCTTGGCTTCCATTACGTTCACTATGTCTCCTGCCTTCATCCTGCCTGCTGTAAACTGTCTCCAATTCCCAGTATATCGTCCTGGATTGGAAGCTTCAAGTGCCAGGCATGAAGAGCCATGACCACTGCAGATCCATATGACTACCATACGTATGGCGACCCGTGCTTCTTTGGTCTCAGCATCAACTGTCACCATCTCCAGCATTGTTGTGCACTCAGCCTAATCTTGGCCTCAAGGCCAGGTATATGACATCAGGATAGGCCTTGTTAGCAGAGGTATAGGAGCAATAAACATTTTGCTGCTACCTGAGCTTCCCGTGGCAGTACATTTTTACCCTCCATTTGTGCTGACTGTGCTGACTGTTCTTCCCCCTGCATTGTGGAACTATGGGCAGCCTAAGGCTATAGGTTTTCCCCTTTCCTGTATTCCTCCAGTGCCCTGACTGTAATGAAATAAATATGAATAGAAAATATACAAGTGGCTGGTGAGTGCTTGAGAAGAAAATAATTATGTTATAATAAATCAAAAGTCTAAATACATATAACAAATGAAAATAAAAGCCATGTAAAAGCCCCCCAAAATTCTGACAATTTCCTGGCAACCCAGGCCTGTAAATGCACACTAGATTATATGAGAGAGTTTGCAGCTTGGACAAAGTAGGGCGCAGACCACAGGACTTTGCAGGGGTTATGGTGTACCTTTTGTTTGCAGTTTCAGGTGGCAGCTGATGCCAGCTGCCATTTGAATCTGCATTGTCTAACCACTGAGAAAGATTGTGAATGTCTGTCAAGATAGAAAAACCTGCTTCAGCTCTACCTTTTATACTGCAGCCTAACCAAATTGCTTACATGCTGTCCAGCCACTGAACACTATTGTGTGGCTATTGTATCTCTGATAAAACACTCAATCTTTTCTTGCAATTTAAAACCTGCTTTGCACTTTTCTATTTGCTATCTTTTTTTCTTGTATACTGTCCTGATGCTAGCTAGTTTCTGCCAAACACACACATGAAGTCTATTTTTTGTAAGTTTTGGGAATAATTTGAGATATAGGGATGGGAGAGGGTTTGAAGAATGTGGGTGTGAGGTTTTTTTATGAACTTAATTTTTACATTTTATCAATCTTTTAAGACAATGCAGTGCTATACTGTAAAAAACAAAGGCTCACACATTGTACTATTAAACTGTTGTGCCACTGGCCATTTTTAATGTTTCCTTCTGCTTTAATGTATCATGTGGCTGCTACTTCCAATGACTAGAGATGAGCGAATCGAACTTGGCGAAGTGGAATTCGTTTCGAATATCAGGAAAAATTTGATTCGCATCGAATCCGAATTTTAGCAAACTTCGGGTGCACGAATCGAATTTTCCCCGATCAGCCGGCAAAAGTGTCACTGCAGAGAGCTCCGCTATTTCTGACAGTTCTGACAGTTCATTTACAGCGGTTGAAACATTGTATCTATTTGTTTCCATTTAGGATACAGATGTTTTTATTTGGAAATAAATAGATACAATGTTTCAACCGCTGTAAATGTCTTCTACTTCTTTTCATTCTTCTTCTTCTTTTCATTCTTTTCTTCTTCTTTTCATTCTTCTTCTCTTCTTCTTTTCATTCTTCTTCTTCTTCTTTTCATTCTTCTTCTTCTTCTTTTCATTCTTCTTTTCATTCTTCTTCTTCTTCTTTTCATTCTTCTTCTTCTTTCTTTTCATTCTTCTTTTCATGCTTCTCATTCTTCTTTTAATTCTTCTTTTCATTCTTCTTCTCATTCTCCTTTTCATTCTTCTTCTACTTCTCTTCTTTTCATTCTTCTTCTTCTTTTCATTCTTCTTCTTCTTCTTTTCATTCTTCTTTTCATTCTTCTTCTTCTTCTTTTCATTCATTCTTCTTCTTTTCATTCTTCTTTCATTCTTCTTCTTCTTTTCATTCTTCTTCTTCTTCTTTTCATTCTTCTTCTTCTTCTTTTCATTCTTCTTCTTCTTCTTTTCATTTCTTCTTCTTCTTTTCATTCTTCTTTTCATTCTTCTTCTCATTCTTCTTTCTTCTTTTCTTTTCATTCTTCTTCTTCTTCTTTTCTTCATTCTTCTTTTCATTCTTCTTCTTCTTCTTCTCATTCTTCTTCTTCTTCTTTTCATTCTTCTTCTTCATTTCATTCTTCTTCTTCTTCTTTCTTCTTCTTCTTCTTTTTTCTTCTTCTTCTTTTCATTCTCTTCTTTTCATTCTTCTTTTCATTCTTCTTCTTCTTTTTTTCATTCTTTTCTTCATTCTTCTTTTCATTCTTCTTTTCATTCTTCTTCTTCTTCTTCTTTTCATTCTTCTTCTTCTTCTTTTCATTCTTCTTTTCATTCTTCTTCTTCTTTCATTCTTCTTCTTCTTCTTTTCATTCTTCTTTTCATTCTTCTTCTTCTTCTTTTCATTCTTCTTCTTTTCATTCTTCTTTTCATTCTTCTTCTTCTTCTTTTCATTCTTCTTCTTCTTCTTTTCATTCTTCTTTTCATTCTTCTTCTTCTTCTTTTCATTCTTTTTCTTCTTCTTCTTTTTCTTCTTTTCTTTTCTTCTTCTTTTCATTCTTCTTTCATTCTTCTTCTTCATTCTTCTTTTCATTCTTTCATTCTTCTTTTCTTTTCATTCTTCTTTTCATTCTTCTTTCATTCTTCTTTTCATTCTTCTTCTTCTTCTTTTCATTCTTCTTCTTCTTTTCATTCTTCTTTTCTTTCTTCTTCTTCTTCTTCTTTTCATTCTTCTTTTCATT